TATAACATTATTTACAGAGACCCATCAGTGCCACCATGAGCAAGCACTTGGCGACGGGGGCAAGGAAAAATTGGGTGGGTGGTCGTCTGCCTCGACTAGTTGGGGTGAGAGAGAAAGAGAGAGAGAGAGACAGACAGACAAACAGAGGTGCACAGCAACAACAATAGCAATAACTACACTATTAGTAGTTTTAGTTTTAGGCAATTTCAGTTTGACCTCCTAAAGTGCTTTCACTTGTCTGTATGATTTATGAAAACTCAGTATTCTAATAGATATAGACTAAATAGAAAAACATAAAATACTAAAAGTTCACATTTCTGTGCAGGTGGAGAATGTAAATCGACATCTGGAAGAGAGTGAGAGGGCTCTGCAGGAACGCATCTTCAAACTGGAGGGACAGCGGATACAACTGGAAGAGGTCAGACTTTAGAATATCGTTGATTAAAAATCTATTTAACACATTTAGTTACATTTAGTCAACAAATTAACTGCTAATCATAGATGGTAGTTAAAGCCAGATTCCCTGCATTAAGTGGTGTAGCAGTGGATGTTGATGTTTGTTTCCTCAAAAATATAATTACACATCGGGACTACAGCAGCTACAGAGACATCAAAAACTGTGATTGCTGCTTTTTCCATAGACCTGTATAAAATATGGCTCTGTGACATCACCCATAGGTTTCTGAAGAGACGTTGTGAAGCTTAGGGTTGTCGGCTCTGGCCGTGGCCATCTTGGAAGTCCTGACTCTGCCGTCTCCCAGCTAATCCAAAAATGGGCAAAGAGTGTTACTGAAAACAGCTGCCTGTGACAGTGCCTCTGTCACTCAGAGTTGCTATTCCCTTAATTATGCAGAACTTTAACATAATTTAAACGAGTGAGTTATATAAAAATTTCAGGACACTGAAGTTAACCAAATCCTTAAATTGGCTTCTCTCAAACTGGGACTTTCCCACTTCTCTGCTGGTGTGTAAATAAGCAGCTGTTTGCTGGGGGTGAATGTAAACAATGTAAACATCGTGCTGAGAGTATAATGATAAAACTGTCTACAGTGTTGGTGGACATGGTAAGATAAATATCTCTCTGTTCCAGCACTATAGCCCTGTAATTTGGGATCAGGGTAACACCCTCCAAGCACCAAATGCAGGTAGATTTTCCACTTGGCAAGTAAATCTTGGAAGACTATCAACCACACAGTTGGGTAAATGTTTGTACCAGTATAGCCTTGGGATAATAAACTTTGCTGATAGCACAGCGTTTTGGTGCCCAGATACTGCTTGTAGTTTTATGGCAGTAAACTGTGCTGAACTACCCACTAATAAATGTTGTTAGCTATGTACGTAAATACCCACAAAAGCTGTGGTGCTGTGGCACTCTGTCAGGAGCAGGAGGCCAAACTCAGGAAAGAAGGAGTAGTCTGATGAGGAGGTTTAAAGCTGCAAAAAAAAAATATATATGTACACTACTTTTCATTCCCAGAGCCCCCATGGATTCTTGCAAATGCAGTTAGGAGCACTAGAACCAGAGGAACCGTTTTTTTTTTCCATTGATTTTCTGTCTCAAGTACTACTGTCAAGATGGTTTTAGCAACTATGACAAAGAAATAAAAAACCTACTGCAGCTTTAAGTTGGTTAAGTATCTGAAGTAGAATTGAGTAAAGAAGTAAAGATTATATTCAGGCTTGAATTAATTAACTGTCAGTTTGTTAGTTAGTTAGTCAGTCCTCTCTAAGTTTGTATTCAACATAATCACTTATCATTTCAATGGAGCAAATTCAAATTTCTACGGAATGAAATTGCAGTTAAATAAATTGTTATTAATAATTTTTGGTTTGGATCTTAAGGGACACCTTGAGCACTGTGTGAGAAGCACTGCTAAAATCTCCAGTCTACCTGCGTTCTTAATTAAATATCATGTGATAATGTCCGTCTGTTGCAGGAACTGAGTAAAGCTAAAGCAGCCTGTGTGACTGAGAGGGCCCAGGCAGAGGAAGAACTGGGACGAATGCGAGCTCATGTGCGTCAGGAGGAGGTGGGTTACAAAATCTGCACCTTTGATCAGTTATTAGGACATTACTACATTTCCTTTCATTCACTGACTTTTGTTCAAAGTAACATACAAAAAAGGTACAATCCAAGCCTCAGAAGATCTAGGAGAAGACTTTGAGAAACTCAATTACTGTAAGACTAGGTAAAAGTCCTTCAAAGACATTATGGTTATCATGAAAGAATCTGGAAGATCATTCTGACTGTAATAATGACTTGTTCAAATGAATTTGTAGGTATTTCAGAATTTGACTTACACGCCCACAATACACTTTTTCTCCCTCTTCCTCACATTTTTTATTATTATTAAGTTTCTAATGATTCATGATTCATCATCTGTGCTTTCACCTTTGTCTCCTCTGAGCAGCAGGAGCACGTGTCATCCTTGGAGGAGAAGCTTCGCTCGGTGCGCTCCTCCCTGCAGGAGGTCCAGCTCCACTGCTCGCAGCAGAAACAGACCATCTCTGAGCTGCAGGTGAAGAACAGCCAGCAGAGTATCGAGATGGAAGGACTGCGGCGCAGGATAGAGGAGCTCCAGCAGGTCAGGACCCACCAGCTGCCTCTTACATGTTTATATGTTTATATTATAGCTGTTTATTTATTTATAGGTGTGAATGTGTTTGTCTGTACTGTATGTTGACTTTTAGAGTTTTAATGATTTCCTCTATCTTCTTCAACAAATCGTAGAAACATGGGAGTCATCTGGATAATCTAATGATGCTCTAGGTTTATGTGTTGGCCATTGGTTTCAATTGTTTCAGCTTTGTTTCTCCAAGTTTGGTATGGCAGCTGGTATGGCTCTGAATGCTACAACACCAAAGAGCATCAGCCACTGCTGCTGTGCAGTGGAAGCCCTCATGTGCGCTGGATGTGGCTGTGTTGTGTCCCAGTATGGCTTTATCAACGCGACACAGAGTTTGATTGACAAAAGATTGTTGTGAAAATGTTTTGGGTGCTGAACGGGTGGTGTGCTGTCGCAGGAGCTGTCGGGTAAGGACCAGGAGAAGGTAGCTGAGGTGAGCCGGGTGAGGGTGGAGCTGCAGGAGCAGATTGGACATTTTCAGGCAGAGAGGACGGCACAGGGAGGACTGAAAGAGAAGATCAGTGCTCTGGAGAGAGAGATCAAAGGTTTGCCCTCACTGTGTCTTTCTTATCACTCTGCTACAGTCTTTTTTTTTTCCATTTGCAAAAAGTACATTTTAAAAAGTCAAGGTGCTTCCTTTTTTATCTTTGTTTGTGTCATTTCTTCCAGTACAAATTAATTTTCTTTTTAAGAAATATAAAGATACCAGTAGCATGAGGTGCCCTAACTTAAAATATAGCTCAACAGGTTTTACTTACTTGAAACAAAGTAGAATTCTCCAGATCAACCAATAATAACACAGTTAAAAACAGTTTTTAAGAAAAAGATACTCGACCAATTTATTATAGAACATAATATTTTGTCCTGTTACCAGGTCAGACATTGTAGATTTCTGAAATGTCATGTTTGAAATCTAAAATATTTTCTGCACTGCTGTATTCCATATATTTCTCCCCCTTGGTTTGCTGCCTTGCAGTACTAAGCAGTAACCACAGAGAGGCGCTGCTCGACAAAGAGAGCGAGATGTCTTCCCTGCTGGAGAAGCTTCGGATGAAAGAGGCGGAGATCCAGAGGATGAGGGAGGACGAGGCCCACAGAGCCAGCTACCTGCAGAGCGCCATCCTGACCTATGTTCAGGGCTCCCCTCTGGGACACTACAGCAGCCCCAAGAAATGACCAAGAGACCCTAACCCTTCAGCTGGAAACCTCTGAGACCTCACTGCACAGGTCAGGACAGTCTGGAGGATTAAAAGAAATCATGACTGTCTGAACTTGATAGATAGAAAAGACTGTAGAATAAGGAGTGCAACAGTAACAGGGTTTAAAAAGTCTGGACCTTTTTAAAAGAAAAACTGTAGGAACCTTATTCTTACTCCCAGTTACATCATCAGGACAAACCTCACTTCTATAGTCCCAACACATACACTTAGTTTAAAGTACTCATCTTAAAAGGTAACTTCATTATTTTTCAACCAGAGAGACTAATGGAGACAACAGTTTTGAGTGTGGTCCAGTATTGAGTGAGAGTGCTGCAGTTGCAAAACAACACAGTGGCGTGTTCAGAAGGGGGTCAATGGCCACCCCTGAAATTTGCTAAATTTTTTTGCTTTCAGAGGCTGTAGCGGGCTCTGCAAGGTGGCTAAATAACGCTCCAAAGTTAGGCTTGATTTTGGTGATGGAAAAGCAAGATATCTGAAATAAAATGGGTTCTATGGGTACTTATGAGTCTCCCCTTTGCAGACACTTTATGCTAATCTCATGCAGTTTTGGGAACAAACCATGCAGTTTTGTGTTTTTTTTACTCCTAGTGTATTTGAATATTTCTGCAGAATGATGTCAATAAACAGTACTGGAATTGCTTAAATTGGCAATGACTGGAAAGCTGAGGCACATACTTCCTGCCAACCCGGTATAAGTCTGTGCCCCACTTGTGCCACCCCAGTCAAAAAACATAATCCTTGCAGGCAATTGCACTCCATCAAAATAAGTCCATTAAAAGTGCTTGTTTTTGTCAATGACTGCCTAAGATTGTGTTTATAAGTGTCTTACAACATTATAGAAAGAGTTGGACAGAAAGATTTAACGTTTTCAGTAACTTTCACTTGATCCAGTCTGGGAAGTCTTCTCTGTGGGCTTAGGGTCACAGCACCCACAGGACCACCAGAAGTCTTGTGAGCTTCGCAGCCTTGCAGCAACCGGTTCACCTCTGCCTGTTGCCCCTCTCTTTTCTCATCCACTCTTCAGTTTGGCCATTCAATTCAAAGGTCTCAGCTATGACACTGAAAATATTTTTACACTGAGCTACGCTTTCTTTACTCCAACACAACTAACTCTTTCCAGTGACTTCACTCACGTTTCCCCTGTTGTCTTCCTGCAACAAGTCACCTCACCTCCCCCGAGATTTCAGAACGAGACTTCTCCTTGAGCAAGACTTGGTTAGACACAGTGAATCAAGAGGGGAACAGAAAACATGTCATTTCTCTGTAGGACCTCTTTTCAGACACTTATAACAACAATCTGAGCCAGTCAGTAGCAAAAACACTTTTAATGGATGTATTTTGACAGTGCAAAATTGGAGGATTATGTTTTACTCTCCCTGAATACAGGACTAAATTCAGAACTTGTCCCCATTAGTCACTTTGACACAAAATAAGGTGTAGGTGGAAAAATACCAAAGTTACCATGGTGTATTTCATAGTCCACTGAGTATATGTATAGTATATCACATGAAAGATATATTTAGATACATTTTCAGATACATTCTGCATTTTAATGCTCTTTCATCTGTCACCACCCTCACTACTTTTTTTCCACTACTGGTGAACGGGAGGGGGAGGCTGGGGGTTGCGATCTGCAACTTCATTACTGGATTCCACTAAATCCAACACACTGGTCCTTTAAATGAAGGGATGACACAGTTGTCTAAATATCAAAAAGAAGAAAAGGGGTTAAAACATTATCAAGAACCCTGCTAAGTATGCCCAAAAGTGCTATTGCATCTTCATCACTGTCTTCTTTTTCTAAGATTGATTATTTTAAGAAAAAATACTGCTGGTCATGAAACCAAACATTTAATTTCCTGTGATCACATCCCTGTCTTTATGTTTTCCATTCTACATGCTTGTCTTTAGCTCTCCCATTAACTGAGATGAACTGTAAGTGATCATTTATGTGTTTGACTGTCCATCCCCATCCTGTTGTACTCCTCCAGACTTAATGGATTGAAGGCAATGTAGCATTGTAGCAAGAGTGTTTACATACAAAAGGAGATTTGGGTTGAAATGTGCCTTATTTGTATCTGTCAGACCAGACTGCTGCCCCTCTCCAGCTCAGATGCAGGGAGCAGATTCACAAAATCTTATTTGCTGTTTTTACTCATTATATTTAATGAAGCAAGTTCTAATTCAGCTCTGGATGCAGGCCTTTATAATACAAATAGCTGTTTTATATGTTTGTCATTTTATTTTTCCCTTTTGCTCTGATTTTGATTGCATGTGTTTTTATATACATTAAATGTGGTTAATTGTGAATATATGTCATGATTTTACTTAATGTGCTGATGTTTTAGTGGTTGATTTACATTTATATATTTCTATTCTAGTTCTGTTCAGCAGATTACATGCTGTACATGTTACATAGAGCTTGGTGTGTTGGTGGGGTGTGGATGTATGAGGTCACTGGGTCTTGAAATCACAGCCAAAGAGTCATAACTGCCAAGATAGTTCACACAAATTTGAAGCGTATGAAACCTTTGTCTATGGTATGCTGTTCTGCCTTCACCGTATTAGGCGATGACACAGGTTGATCAAGTATTTGTAAGTATTTCTAGAATATTGATGATTGCGTTGTTTCAGAATTTCCCCACAATGATAGCCTTGTCACAATGGAGGAACCTCCATCTTGTTCCTCATGGGGCCATATCATTATCAATCAAGTATCTTAATCTTCATCATTAATAAATACCCCCCATAGGTTTCCCATTAGGTAATTTGAATGCTATTAGTAAGCATACGTTTCTAAATTAGCCTAAATGAACCCCCCCCCC